TTCTACGTTCGATGGTTCACCCACGGCCTCCGGGCCGGCGAGAAATTTATTTATTTATATAGTCTATCGGTTGTATTTATTGAAGACGATTTATTTACGCGTTAGGAGTTCGCTCGAGGGAGGAAAGAAACGAGAATAGAGTCGAGGATCGTAGAAAGCGTGGGTGGAGGGAAGGGTAAGGTTAGAAACGGGAGAAGAAACGAAAGAGCAGGGAGAGATGAAAAAATCAAATTCACACCCGGAGAACAGACTGTATTATTGTAGATAGCGACGTAGATGTCGTCGGACAAAACGCCATTCCAATGTTTCACTGTTTTTTATACCAAACGCGAGCGTAGCGGCATTTTGTATCAAGTGTCTTGAGGGGGTGAGCCCGTGGTGTCCGGGTGGGACGTGTTTCCGGTTTTCTCACGGGAACCAGAGGGACGGAAGTCTACAGGGGAGATTTTTGCGTAGGAGTAGTCCTCGCTGCGGGATTAGTAGACGCACGTGAATGATTTGACAGCAAGTTGGAAACAGTTGAATTAAAACGGTTCGATTGAATTGAAAATTAAATTTCTGATTTATCTCGAGGAACTCTCGGTGGATTTCGTAGTTCAAATTTCTGCGAGCAGGGATCGAAAAATTTTCGGAAATAAACTTTCAGGCAGTGACTGTAATTTTACAACTACAAAGAGGAAAAAAAAGAAACGCAAGCTCGGAAGAAGAAATCCAGAATGCTCAACGAAACGTGGCCTGAGAAGACATACAAGTCAGAAGTCAGAGAGTGAAGAATACTCAAGAGTGCTTGCAAGTCACAGTAAAATGTCGAGATACGACTACTTGCAATTAACAATCGATCGTTGATCGAAACGCTGTTTCGAAGCGAGACGAACCGAAGTAGAATAGAAAGAGGCCGAGAACGAATATTTTTTTAATAATTGCCTAGTGAAGAACTCGCGTTCTTGCGGCCTAAGCTCGGCCTCTCGCAGGCTCTTTCCGTTTCCTCTGGCTGTTTCTCCGACAACGACGACCACGTCCCGCCGCGGAGACCCCGGTCCCCGCTGATTACTAATTAAGAGGTACACTTCCGGCGGGAAGGCAGAGAAGTTTATTTTGTTGACCAGATGTTCGAGTAGAGATTGTAACGAAATAACGAAACGTGTCCTCGGTATACAGGTGGGGAAAGAAAGAAAGAAAGAAAGAAAGGAAACGGAATTTATTTTTTAGCGAGGTGCGTTAGGCGCACTTCCGGAAGTTGCTGTGGCCTTCGCGATACCTTCGAGCGATGCGTGGATTGATTCTATCTTACTTACTTACTTACTTATTTACTTACTTCTTATACACGATTCTATGTATGTACTACGTTTTTACTTCTTACTTTACGTTTATTCGATTTCCTGAACAAGGTTTGCCTTCCAGACGAACACGATATCGCGATGTCCGCTTTCGCGTGTCCGTTCGAAAGAGGAATTTTACTTTTAGTTTTATTAATCTTTGAACGTGTCATATTTTTCAGCCAGAGACTGTGCATTTTGTTTTGTTTGAGAAGCTTTCTCAAAACGTCGAGAATACTTTGGATAATTCAGACATGAGGTGGCAAACTGAAGACGTTTTTTTTTTGAATCACGTGGTAGCTTTTTCCTTTCGTACGACGCATGCTAAAGAATTTTCTATTATTTCTCTAGATATTGCGATTAATCAAAAAAGAAAAGAAAAGAAAAAACGTCTTCGAGAAACGAACGATAATAACTAACCCCATAGATATATATTTCCCATCCCTTGTTGCTAGTGTAATTTTATTTTGTAAGAACACAATTTCCTACGAAAAAGAAAACCAACAAAAAAAGAAAAATTGAGAAATACGTAACACAAAAATACGTAATAAAAGGTCGCAGAAGTCCAACAGGTGTAAGAAAATGTTCGTAAAAGTAATATTTCCCGTCCAAAACCGTTCTCGGGGAAGAATATTCTCAATTCAGACGAAGCGCCTATTCTCTCGGAGGGAGGGAAGGGGGGAGGGGAGAACTCCCGTTCGGAGA